CTCTTCTTTCTTCCTCTTCATAAATGCAAGCATATCACAGACACACAGTGCTTGAAATGGTAATAAGTTGGAAGAAAATATAAAACGGGGAAGGAAAAGAAGTTAGGGTAGTCCACTTTCGGTAAATGTCCTTCCACTTCCACTTTCCTGAACTGGCAACCATAAGTCTGGCCCCGCGGAAAATTGTATTTTAAATTAAAATTTTTTAATGCAAAACAAATTGCGAGGTAAACTGCCTAAAAATTGCAAACATAAAATTGCAGCCTTTCCCATCCAAGGCGCATTAAAATGGGCTTAAAATTTTCAGTTTAAAAAACATAACAATTAAAATTTGAGTAGCGATACAAGCAGAACAGCCTTTTAACAAATCTGTATGCACAATACAAATTTTATTAACAACATTTACTTGTGACAACACACGAGTACGTTAACAATTTAAGATATCGATCAAATATTATAACATAATAATACGGCGTGACACAACAAAAACCGGAACTTTCGGTTTTCGTAATAACTTTTAAATGAATGCATAAAATTTGACCAAAATTTGGTACATGCCGCGTTCTAAAATTGGTCCATGCAAAGATCTAAAAGTGTATGAAGTTTCATGAGGTTTAGTCCAAAAAAAAATAATTTGACGGGAGATTTACGAGTTTTCTATCTACAAGCGGCCTTCATAGAACTCATTCTCTTGCTAACACAATCACTTTGTCATGTTCACCTGTTATCACCAGCTATTGCCGCTGCAGTTGTTGAAGGAGGATTCATTGTCCTAAAAGTCTTCGAACGTTGAGGATGCCGTGTGTTCATTATCAATAATTATAATTTAGAAGGGCGTGGGTCTGGTCTCAAAGTGCTGAACAAGGTTTGACAAATTATAACAGCAAGCCATGATTCGCAAACCTTTTGGGGGCTAATTTGATTGAAATATGTTCACTTTCGCACACGGTTATGTATGTGGCAGTGTGAATCTTAGTATCATCATTATGATGAGCGAACAGATTTATGATTTAGTCGTTTGGCACGTTTTTTTTATGCAGGGGCCACCAATTGAAGGTCTCGTATATATCTATCAGTATTCTTTTACTCTGATTTTGAAATCACGTCAATGTGACTAATGGTAAGGGGGGGGGGGCTACACCTAAAGGCTATCTCGCTTATTAGCTGACCAAATTTTACAAAATTTCACACATATAACAAGCATAGTAAGGAGTCTTAAAATCCGCAATCAAATTTGAGAAAAAAAAAGTTTCGTTTCTATGGATACGGTGGCCATATTGGATTTTTTTGACATGTCTTACGTAATGAATGCTGCACTTATTTTTCATGGAATTGATTTTTTTTTTTTGCAAGTATGTCAGCAAACATTAGATCTAAAAATATGTCCGTAGATTATTTCTTAAAAGAATTTAAAAAATTTTAATACGGGGAGTCTTCCACTCAGCTAAGCGAGCAGGAGATGTGAAGATGGAAGGGAGTCTTCCATTCAACTAAGTGAACATGAGATGTGAAGATGGAAGGGAGTCTTCCATTCAGCTAGGTGAACATGAGATGTGACGATGGAAGGGAGTCTTCCATTCAGCTAAGTGAACATGAGATGTGAAGATGGAAGGGAGTCTTCCATTCAGCTAAGTGAACATGAGATGTGAAGATGGAAGGGAGTCTTCCATTCAGCTAGGTGAACATGAGATGTGACGATGGAAGGGAGTCTTCCATTCAGCTAAGTGAACATGAGATGTGAAGATGGAAGGGTTGTTTTGGCAAGTCCTGTGGATCTTGTGACATGCCCATACCATTTTAATTTTCGTCTCTTCACTGTGGCCAGTAGATCTTCATGCTGCCCCACTGCGTTTGTAATTCTGTTCCGTACTTCAGTATTTGAAATGTGGTCTTTGTATGAGATGTTAAGGAGTCTGCGGTAACATATCATCTCCGTTGCTTGAATCTTTTTCTCCATTTCTACTGTCAGTGTCCACGACTCGCAGGCGTATAAAAATATTGAGATGACCAGTGAGCGCATAAATCTGATCTTCGAGTTGAGCGTGATGTTTCTGTCCTTCCAAATAGGCTTCATTTTTGACAGCGCAGCTCTTGTTTGCGCGATTCTGGGGGGAAAAAACTATCAAAATGCCACATCACAAATTTAGGAATAAAAGTCTCACACTTTGAAAATAAGCTGAAGCAAAAAAAAAAAAAATGCTTTGAAATCAAAACGAGATCAACTTCTGCTGTAAGGGGGGCAGAAGTAATGGGCAGTTTGCTTACCAAATGAAATGTCAGAAATGATCATGAATGAGGTTTTTTATCTGCGGGCTTGAGGTATATTATGTAGTGTAAAAAAAAAAAAAAAAATCTTAGTCTGCAATAGCTTAAAATAAACGCTGCCATTTTGCAACCTTCAGATAAACTTTAACAATAGCTTTTTTAAAAAATGATCAGTAAGCAGATGAAATGTTCTGTGCAGTTTCTTTTCTAGGTCTTGAAATATCAAACGCAATGCCAGCCTGAAGAATCAGTGTTAAAAAAGCCCCCCCCCCAAAAAAAAAAAACCCAACTAGTATGTCGGTTTTTGTTGGAGGATGTAGAGACACAAAGTGTAGGGCACATAGACGAGAAAACAGGCACAATGAAGCATCGGGTTCTGATATTTAAAAAAA